ACAAGGAAGGGCCCGAAAGACTCACACCAGGACGAAGAGCCCGAACGACTCACACCAGGAGGATCCCAGATGTGTCTCCCGCCACGAAACGCCCGAACGACTCACACACAAGGAGGGGCCCGAACGACTCACACCAGGACGAGGCGCCCGAACTTGTCACACCCCGAGGAGCCCGAACGACTCCCACAAGGATGGGGCCCCAACGACTCACACCAGGACGAACGGCCCGAACGACGCACGCAAAACTCCAGAAGCATGCACACACGAACGAACGGCCCGAACGACTCCTAGAACACCCCCCAGAAAACAAGCGACCCGAACGAGGGAGAGTGGGCCCGCCCTTCAGGCAAAACGTGGGAAATCGTCGAGATCGTCGTCGAGGGAAAGCGAACGCGGCGGGGGGGATGCCGATGGCCACCTTCCCCCCCGTGAACCGCCAGCTCCCCAAAAAAGAGTGGGCCGCTCGGGCGTTTATATAAGACGCCAAAATGGAAACATTCCTGCAGGCCACCTCTGCAGGACACGAGGCGCAGCCCCTCACGCAGCCGCACTGCGGGTGCGCCGGCGGGCGCGGGGGGGCGGCGGTGGCGCCAACGCGCAGTTGGTAGCTGTCCTCCTCCTCCCCCACCAGCATAGCGATGATGATAATGATGAGCAGCCTACGATGATGAGGCCCTGGGCCCCGTCACAGAGTCCCAGGCCCCGCCCCAGGCCGCGGGCCAGGCCCCCTTTCCCCATCGACTCTCAACTGCGCCCGTGTTATAGATATGTATATACATACATACATATGTACATATATACACTTATACATATATATATATATATATATATATATATATACATACACGTCTATATACGTCTACACACAATACATGGGGCAGATATACATATATGCATCTAGCAATCAGTCAGCGGAGCCCCGACGCCGCCCAGAGCCGCCCAGCTGTTAGCAGCCAAAACGGCCGCCCGGGGCGAGAGGCAGGGTCGTCGTCGTCGTCGTCGCCGTCGTCGGGGACTACTGACTCCAACACAAAACTTGAGAGAAGACCGCGCACGATTCAACATGACACAAAACAATCAAGACAACATGACATTTCTGAAACGTGCGACTCAAGGATCGCCAACGGACTGTAGTGTCCATTGTCAGCCGTTATACACTTGGAAACCCTGTGGTAACCCTTGAAGAAATCTGAAGCTTGAGCCAGACTACCTTGCATAGTAGTATACCCTGAAGATCGAGGACCCCTGCACCACGGTGGCGGGCTAGGCCGCAGGCCCCTGGATATCCTGAGGCAGGATACGCCGAAAGCCACTACATAGACTGTGGCGGGATAGGCCGACACTCATGTAGATAGCCTGGAGCTCTTGAATACGCGCAAGCCCTCTCAGGACACTTTACTCCTGCAAGGGTTCGGAGAGCCTTATGCCTGCTGTACTTTTTCTCCGTTTTTTTCCATAAGACAAGGCGGTACAATTCAGCCAACACGTCGCGCAACGCTCGACGCGTCTACTGCGCGCGAGCGCGGCAGACGAAACTTGGAAGTTCGACTGCCAGGCCTCGCCAGGGCCCGATCGACGTCCAAAGGAAAATGGCGGGCCCCCTCACCCTCTTGGGAAGGGGGGGGGGGGGGGGGGAACACGGTTCAACTTCTGTGCATTTCTTTCTGTGATTTGTTATTGTGTGTATAGGTGTATGATTTGTGCGTGCTTCTGTTTTGAATGTATGTGTATATGTATGGGGGGGAGTCAATGCCCTAATGTCGCAATGTGGTTGGATCGTACCAATAAAACCTCGAGAATGGCGCGTCTCTGGGACATCCCGCGGCGGCCGCCGTGCCTGCATGTCCCCGAGCGCGAGCCGCAACGACGACCTGCTGCCACGAAAGCGGGGCCAATGGAGGAGGGCGCGACATGCATCACAACAAAAAGTGGCGAGCCCGTAGCCGTGATGGGCCATGTGCACTAGTCGCGCAACACAGCCACATCGTGCCAAAAGCACGATGGGCGCGCGCGTTCCGCTCGCAAGGAAAATCACCATTGACGTCGTGGTCGTTCGTCGTCGTTGTCTCGACGTCGTCGTCGTCCTTCGTCGTCGTCGTCGTCGTGGTGGGCTGAGCTACGCTCACTGCCCTCGCGGTGTAAGCCTCGCCATCACGTTCCAGGCCATGCGGACCGAAGTGCAGCGCGCCGACCGCACCGTCGAAGCTCAAGGTGGTGCGAGAATGCCGACGACCGACATTCTCCACGCTCGCTCCAAGGAGCCCCCGTGGCGAGCAAGAGTACAAAAGCGCACGGGCGCGTCTCCATACCAGCCGCAAAAAATGTTGCTAGTAGGCGGAAACGATTACTGGTAGGCGGAGCGAAGCTCACAGCCACACTGAAATACTGTGAGCCAGAACGGCAACAACGACGACGCTGGTCGGGGAGATCGCTGGACTCGACGACGAGCGCCCTCTGTCTTGCCTCCCAACTCCTTCCCTCCCTCCTCCTCCTCCGACTCGCCCTCCTTCGGCTCCCCCACCAGGAGGCTGCACAAGGAGGGAGAAGGAAATAAGAGCAGATGATATATGCAAAGGCAGGCAGACACACGCTTGCACCAAACGACTGACGGCATGCTTCGCGATTGCTGTTCGGAGATACACTACTACTACTACTACTACTACTACTACTACTACTACTACTACTACTACTACTACTACTACTACTACTACTACTACTAACTACTACTACTACTACTACTGCTACTACTACTCTGCTACTACTACTACTACTACTACTACTACTACTACTACTACTACTACTACTACTACTACTACTACTACTACTACTACTACTACTACTACTACTACTACTACTACTGCTGCTACTACTACTACTACTACTACTGCTATGACTGCTACTCGTGCTAGTACTACTACGAGCATTACTACTTCTATGACGACGGCTACTTATACTGTCACTGCTACTGATCGTGTCGCTGCTACTGCTACTACTACTACTACAACTACTGGTACTGCTACTACTACTAGTATTACAAACTACTACTAGTACGAGTACTACTACTACTACTACTACTACTACTACTACACTGCTACTACTACTACTACTACTACTACTACTACTACTACTACTACTACTACGACTAAACTACTACTACTACTACTACTACTACTACTACTACTACTACTACTACTACTACTACTACTACTACTACTACTACTACTACTACTACTACTACTACTACTACTACTACTACTACTACTACTACTACTACTACTACTACTACTACTACTACTACTACTACTACTACTACTACTACTACTACTACTACTACTACTACTACTACTACTACTACTACTACTACTACTACTACTACTACTACTACTACTACTACTACGACTCCAACTACGAAGGGCCCGAACAACTCGCACGCGGACGAGGTGCCCAAACGCCTCACCTCACAAGGAGGATGTACAAGGAGGCGGGAGGAAGGAGGAACAGGGGAGATATGCGGGGCCAAGCGAACACACGCCTGAAACACACAACTGTCGGCATGCTTCGCGAGAGTTGCTGCTGTGAGATGGGCTGGTGGGGATACGCGAAGCGTAAAGAATTCCCTCTGGGGCCACGAAGCGCTCTACTGGGTGGGGGAACCGCATGCGGACGGTGCGACTGAGACTTTCGGTGGAATTCCCAGTGGGGCCACGAAACGCTGTATTGTGTGGGGGAAACGCATGCGGGCGGTGCCACTGGGGCCACGAAACATTGTACCAGGTGCGGGGGACGCATGCGGACGGTGGGACTGAAAGCTTCGGTGGGGCTCCCAGGGGGCCACGAAACGCTGTACTGGGCGGGGGGGGCGCATGCGGATGGCGCCACTGTGGCTTTCGTGGAACACCCTATGGGCCACGAAACGCTGGGTGGGGAAGACGCATGCGGACAGTGCCGCTGGGGCCTTCGGTGGAGCTCCCGATGGAGCCACGAAGCGTTGTACTGGGTGGGGGAGACGCATGCGGACGCTGCCACTGGGGCCTTCGGTGGAGCTTCCCATGCGCCGGGAAACGCTGTACTGGCCTGGAGGAGACGCATACGGACGGTGCCTTTGGGGCCTTCGGTGGACTTCCCCATGGGACCATCAAAGGCTGCACTGGCTTGCAAGATTGAAACGCATGCGAACGGCGCCACTGAGGCCTTCGGTGGAGCTCCCTCTGGGGCCACGAAGCGCTCTACTGGGTGGGGGAGACGCATGCGGACGCTGCCACTGGGACCTTCGGTGGAGCTCCCTATGGGGCCACGTAGCGCTCTACGGGGTGGGGGAGACGCACGCGGACGGTGCCACTGGGGCCTGAAGTAAAACTCTGTATGAGCCACGAAACGCTGTACTGGGCGGGAGAGATGCATGCGGACGTTGCCAATGGGGCCGATGGTGGAGTTCCCTAAGGGGGCCACGGGACGCGTGAGGGGTGCGCCGACGAGGGCGCGGTGGTGCCACGCGGACGTAGCCGCGTGGGCCCCCAGGTGACGACTACGAAGACGACGACGAAAACAACGACGACGAAGACGACGACGACGACGATGATGATTATGATTATGATGATGATTATGATTATGATTATGGTTGTGATCATGATCATGATTATGATGGTGAAGATTATGATGCTGATGATGATGATGACGACGATGATGACGATGATGACGATGATGATGATGATGATGACGATGATGATCCGGACGCCTCCTGCGCGCCGAAGTCTTCCTGATAGGACAGCTGTGGGGGAGAGGAGGAGGATGAGGAGGAGGAGGAGGAGGAGGAAACGGAGGAGTAGGAGGAGGAGGAGCGTCGTCACCGCGACGCTTCAGTGCCCCAGCGCCGCCAGACTGGCGCCCGCAGCCCATAGCACCACCACGGTGCAGAAACGCTCGGCGATCCGCCGCGCCGTCGTCCCCCGGCGGCCGGCGCGCTGCAGGCGGCCGTGCGCCTGCGAGGCGGCTGCGAGCTACTACGCAAGCGCCGCGGCGGCGCCGTCGCTGAGGCGACCGCCCGCCTCGACGGCGATGCTGCGCACCTGCCCGCCGTAGCGCGACGCCTTGGCCCGGTCGCCAGCGGCGGCAGCGGCCCCAGGGGCGCGGCCCGCGTCGGCGAGCGAGGCATTGAACGGCGACCGGAAGTTGACGTCCAGCCACCAGCGCTCGGCGTTGGCAGGGAACGCGACGACGAGGTCCATGACCGCCTCCTGGATCGCGCCGTCTGGCAGCGTCCGGTAGAGCTCCGGCACCCGCCGCTCCAGGTCGACGACGGCGCCTGCTGAGCGCAGCTCCTCCTCGAGGCCGCGCACGGCCCCCGAGTGGGCCCGCAGCCGCGTGGCGCTCCTGGGGCAGGCTAAGGCGCGCGCAGCGCGCCGGCCAAGCGTCTCGCCGCACTCCTGCACTTCGACGCCGGCGTCCTCGACAGCAGGGGCACGCCGCGGCCTGCAGGTGGCAGCGGGCGGCGCAAAAGCAACGCCGAGCCGCCTCAAGAAAGCGATTTGCCAGATCGCCGATCTGGCTTGCATCCAGCGCGCGCGCAGGATGGCGAGCCAAAACGTGCCTTTGCTCCGGCCAGCATGCGAGAGCAGGTTCCGCTGGCGCTCGTCGTCATCCGCGATCCTGCGCCAAAGCCTCGTGGCCCGCAAGGCGTCGAGGCCGCGGAAGAGGCGCCCCAGCAGGCGGCGGCGGGATCCCTCCAGATCGCGCTGGAGGAGCAGGGAGCCACTGTCGACGCCGCGAGGCGCCGGGGCGGCCTCCGCCAGCGTCGGCCCGCCACGGCCGCAAACACAGGATTCGCTGGGATTCTGCGGTTCGGGTCGCCGCTCCGAGGCGCCGCCGGGCGGCCCGGGCGGCCCGGGAACCAGAAAAGAATCCAGAGCCGCATAAGGAGCCGGCGAGGAGTCGTCGATGTCCCCGACAAAGCTGAACGCGTCCGACACGGGAGTGTCAACGACGAACGGGCCGCTAGCGTACTCGATCTGCGCCTCCGCGGTGAAGGCCATGCCGAGCCCGGGCGTGAAGTCGACCCCAAACGCCCGCAGCCGCGACGCAGCCTCGCCGGCAAGCACGGCGTCGGGATCGTGGTGCAGCGGGCGCCCGAGGGCTGCAGCGAGGCGCCGGACATCCTGCGCATGGGCGGACCAGCACGCGAGGTAGCTTGCAGCGGCCTCCGGGCCCGCAGGGAGGCGCACCCCCATCCCGCCGAGGCGCGGCGGCAGCCCCACCGCATCGACGTCGGCAGCGTCGAGCGGAGACCCTGTGAGCACCTCCAGCACCTGGACCACTGCAGCCTGCAGCCGCGCCCTCGCTACGCGAAGTACGCCACTGGCGCATAAACGCATATCGTAGTCGAGCTCGCGGGCAGGCGAGTGGACCAAGATCGCCCACGCTGTCTGCGCCGTGCGCCGATGGCACCGGGAGCGCGCCAGGCAGCAGAGAGCCTCGCCGACCTGCTCTGCCTGAGCTGCGCGCGCCAGGGCGGGGCCCTCCATGGCGACCGCGCCGGCGAGGGTAGTCGACCGGCTGCCCCCAAGCGCAGTGCCCAACAACAGCAGGCCATGCACTTCCCGTCCCATGCGCTCCAAAAGACTGCGGGCCGCGGCAAATGGCGCCCCGCCTGAAGCATCCAAGGCCGGGAAAGTGACTGCGCACTGATGGCCGCGCATCCTGTGGCCGCGCCGCGCCAGGCGGCCCTCCAGGGCATCGATCTCGGCTCCGACTGGCCCCGCGTCCCCAGCGATGCACCAATCATCGGCGACGCCAGCGAGTGCCACCGCCGGCGACGCTACCGCCGGGTCGCAGCCGCAAACGCCACGCATGGCATCGGCGATGTCGAGGTTGAACAGCAACTGCATGAGGCGGGAGCCCTGGATGCCGCCCCGCCACGTGGTGTGCTGCACCCAGGCGACTCCGACACGCTGCCACACGACGGAATACCCGGCGGCCCAACGGCCGGCGAGGAGGGGCAGGAGGTCGGGCACGTGGCGCCGGGCAGTGGCCAGCAGGGAGCTGCGGAAGAGACGGCCGCAGGCGTTCTCAAGGTCAGTCTTGACGATGCACTGGTCCATCGAGACGCCCTCCCCCGCCGACACCTCCGCCTCAACGTCCTTCCCTTCATGCTGATCCCCCTCCGGCATTGGCTGCTGCAGCTGAGCGGCGCCGCCGCCCGCTGCTCGGCGTGCTCGCCGGACATCTCCTGGGCCCAGCCCCGCAGCACCCGGACCAGCATCGGGATGCCATCGGGGGTGTTTCCAAGCTGATGCGGCTCCATGCGGCCTCGCGCACGATGGATGGCCGCTTCAACGCCCACCGCCTCCGCGAGCTTGACCAAAGGCTCGCATAAGCCGATGGGGCGGATCTTCCGCGACGCAGGCTCACCTGCTGCCGCCGGCGGCCAGATGCCCTGGTCGACGGGCTCGAGGATAGCGGCGTCCCACAGCAGTCCATCCTGAGGCAGCCATCTGCCGCCCAGCGCGATAGCGGCCAAACCAGCCAACGCATCCTCGCCACCGTCGGCTTCGCAAATGGCGCTGACTAGCGAATTGCGCCACCCGCTCGGGCCAGGCGCGGCCCACGGCTGGAGGCCCCGCACGGCGCGGCGCACGCGCCTCTTAGTGGGCACGGTGGGCATGCACGCAGCGCGATCCGCGGCAGCA